CAAGTTCCTCCTCAAGATCGATGACTCCCTCGATGTCTTCGCCGAGCACGGTATCGGCGGTATTGTCGGCCTCATCTTCAACGCCTTCTTCGCTTCTGGCTCGATTATCGGTCTCGACGGTGTCAACGTTGGCCTGACCGGCGGCTGGGTTGACGGCAACTGGAAGCTCATGTACATCCAAATCGCCTACATTGTCGCCTGCTGCGCCTACACCTTCGTCATGTCCGCCCTCATCGCCAAGGCCATCGACATGGTTCCCGGTCTTCGCCTGCGTGCTTCCGAGGAGGCCGAGCTCCTGGGTATGGACGACGACCAGCACGGAGAATTCTCCTACGATTACGTCGAGGTCCGCCGTGACTTCCTTGCCTGGACCCCCCACCAGGCCGAGCCCGCCGCCGAGGGCAAGTTCAGCCCTCAACACGGTATCGAGGAGCACCAGCACATGGCCAACAATGGTGGAAGCAGCGGTTCCGACGAGCCCAAGCCTGTCACTCCCGACGGAGAGCTTAGGAGTGAAAAGGCCCCTTCATTGTAAAGGGCTGGGTCAAGTTGTGCTATTTTGAGTTCTAGATACCGTTGATGTCGACGCCATTTAGCGTCAGACGGCGAGGCGTTCCTACAGGATGGGGTTTTGTCTACGGATTTGATTTGATGATGGAAGGATATCCCGCGAAACGCGAAGCGAGCATACATATTCGTTTGTATTAATACCCATGACACAGTGGTACGCCCAAAAGCGAATCTATTCAAAAATTTACCATTGCAACATATCTGAAGCCCAATTTTGCGCAAGTGACCTACCTGCACCTCAACACCAAAGTACAGACGAACAGACATGCACAGAGTTCTTCTGTGCGCCCATTACGAGCGAGCGTCACTCAATGTCTCATCCTTCACGGCGCCCTAGCAAACATGAGAGCACAAAAACAGCACACCAGAGTTCTTGGCGGATTCTTGCGGTGTCACAAGTCAGCGGGAGGGTGCGAAACACCGCCGTCAGCTTGGCACAGGCTTTATTTCTGTCCTCCAAAATTCTCATTCGTTCGCAAACCCGATTCGAATACCAGGGCCGGTCGCCCGACCTTGCTTTGCAATTCGGCAGACGGCGCATGTGTGGGCTGTGCCCAATTTCCCCTCTCCATCTGTTGGACAGTGCTGCTGCTGTCGTATGTACCTGCGAAAGTCATTGACTTTCCCCTCTGCTTTAGACTTTTCGCATGCGATTCAAGCGAGGAGAGTTTCTTTCCCTGCGGATGTTTGTGCCAATGTTCCCCGGATGAAAATTGTCTTGGCATTCTTTGCGTCGCCAGCGTTGCTTTTCCATCCGTGGATTTCCAGTCGGGCTGGCTGGTCAGGCATGGCAGAGTTCGGCCGCAATTTGCTCTCTTCGGCCAGGTCGGTCTCGGAGACCGCGGGTGAGAGAGGAAGCTGTCAGCGGATTCGTGTTCTCTCCTGGGCAACATGTTCCCTCCCTCCCCTGCTCTACCACATCCATACCATGGGACGATTGAGGGGGCTTGACGGCCAATTCGAGGAGGGATGCCGACCAGTGTGTCTGTGTTATTGTACACTTGGCGAGACCTGCTTTTCCCTTTTGTGGTCACTCAATTCACTCTCCTGCGTACCTGGGCGAATCCAAGCCAGCACCGCGGCATTGTGCCGCTGTATCTCGGTCAATCACCTCGGTCGGCCTCGCTGAGCTACATGAATCCTATAAGCAGCACCATGCCACGACCACGAATCCCTCGAAGCACCCCGTCCAGCCGAGGCGAAAGTATCTCCGTCGCGGACGTACACAACGCCGTGTCATACGGATACCGCAGCAACTAAACCACTTTCCTGCCTCAACGCACCCCCGGCTCTCTCTTCCGGGTTTTTGCCTTTGGGCATCCAAGGATGCCGCTAGCAGAAAAGCCGCGCCCCGTTCCATCGACGAGGACCCCTGAGGGGGAGGCCACAATCCACATCGAACTGGCGCCGTTTGTTGGATCCCCGGTAACCCTGTCAGCTCTCTTAAAAAAAAGTCTCCCCCACCCCACCCGCACCGAAGTCGCAGAGATAAGGACTCGAACCGTGACTGGCTGTTAAGCACCCCCTGGCTGGAGATTTCGACAATTAAATGTGCCCACTTCGTAGTTACGCCGTCTAGCCGTCGGCGAACTACGGAGCGGAGGGAGGCGTCTGCAATGGGTTTCTTGGGCGTCAATGACAGGAAGGGCGTCTGAACTGGGGACGGGGGGCGAGATGGGGAGAGATTATCGGTGTGGGACGATATGGGGGTCACACTGGGAAGATGTGGGAGGCCATTTTGCCGATGGAAGAAGAGAAGAGGGACAGAGGCGGGTGAGGAGTGAGAGGCGGGGGGCTCTGAGGCAGCTCAGCGTGGGAGAAAGAGGAGCACCGGCCGCCAAGTGGGAGAATTGGTAGCTGCCGCCCATGGGGTTCAATGTCTTGGCACGAACTCAGAACGGGAGAAGGAAAGAGGAACACTCAAGTCGTTAACGGTACGGATAAAAGTGAGGTTGAAATAGTGTGCAACATCGCGAAATGTGCGTCAACCTGCCTCGCGATGCGGCTGCAGAGCTAAGAGACGCGATGCGCCCGCGAGATCTGGCTCTTTTCTCGATTTCCCCAGATTCTCGGGACGGTTCGCCCCTTGTTTATCTATGTTTTTTTTCTCCTTGAATGTCGTGCCGCCGAATGAAAAGGAATCCTTCCCGTTGAAGAGCCTCCTGGAGACCCGGGTGTTTGGATCTTGCGGGCGCAAAGGGTGGGTTTGGGGGAGGTGTCTGCGGGCGTTGCGGGCGCAAAGGCGTGGTGTTTTCGCCGGCGCTGGTGTGTGTGTGTGTGTCCAGTGTGTGTGTGTGGCGCATGTCACTCTGCCTACCTACCCGAGTAGGTAGGTAGGCAGAAAGGCTAAGGCTGAGGTAACGCAGGAAGATAAGATAACGATGTGCATCTGGTTGTCGTTGGTTTAAAGACCGCCCACACATCAACATATGCCTTCTACATCACCAAATGACGGATGTCGTTGAAGAAAGCACACAAGAGCCTCAATTGTGGAACACGACGGAACGGCGGCGGCCTTGGCCGTTCCCGACGCGGCGGGACGAACGCACTGAAGAAAACGTGGATGGCTTTGCGTGAGGGTTTTCATCATGTAAATATCGCGTAACCGTTTCCCCCGACACCAGGCCCCCGGGGGTGAGGGGCGCTCGAGCGAGGTCTTGGCTGGGCGTAGGGCGGACAAATCGGGGCTGGTGCCGTTGGAGATCGATCCTTTGGGTGAGCGTGACTTAGATTACCGAGGAAAGGGGATATTAAGATGGAGGGATTGGTTTTTGGGTCTTTTGCACGATCTTTTCGTGGGTTCTTGGTGCTTGTTGGTTGTGGTTGGTTTGGCGGGTGACTGACGGAAGTTGGGGTAAGCGGGCTGGGGTGGGCGTTTACCCCAACATCTCCAGATTGGATATGGACCTCGGCTCATCACGCCGGTGAGATGAGCTGATTGAGCCTTGATCGCGTCTGTGATGGACTTAAGAACATTGATGGAGATTGCTGATGACCTGCATCGACACGGGTGAGTGTTTGAGCTGCATGGATGCGACATTCAGCCTGATCCTTCAGATATCGCACGCCACCCATGTGCTCCTGGCCCCGGAGCACTGAGACCACCTGATCGAGTCGATGAGATGGCTTGAGGCTTTGAGTTCGAGATTTATCGCACTTTTATTCAAAACGGAGTGGAGGCAAAGTTCTAATCTCGAGGTTGAGTCGATGTTTCAACGGGAGGTGTTTGTGTCGCCGCGTGGTCAGTCGGCAACTCAGGCCTCGGTGTCTTTCGTCGATGACGGAGGATTAAGATACCATTTGAAAGGCGAGCATAAGCCTACACTGTGCTTTGATTGTCTTGCAATGGATTGGCGGCCGTGATTTAATTGCCGTCCCGAGTTCACTCAGTTGTAGGTTCGAGCGCTTCTTGTTCCATGAGAGCCGTTTGTGTTCTAACGTATTTGATGATGTGGCAGGGCCATTCCGAGGTGATGTCTTTTGTCAACCTCGAGAGTTCAGCACTGATAAGATTTTTAATAGCCGGGCAGTGTCAGTTAGCTGTCCGGGCGGTGTCCCCTAGAACTATATCGTAGTGTACCCAATACTTCCACGAGGACGACAGTAGAGATAGACAGGAATAACGATGGACGACGAGGACGACGAGGACAACAATAGTGGCGACAATAGCGATAACAATAGCAAGTATAGTCGTTTTGGCATAGATATAGGATGTACAGATTGTATGCTGCTCATGTGGTGGACACTACCCGGATAGCCAACTGACACTGCCTGTCTAGCAAAGCTCTCTGGCAAAGGGGCAATCTGATGATCCTGCTCAAGGCCATCTCATAAGCTCTGCATGTCGGACTTTTGTCCTCGCCAGCTATACCTTAAGCTGGGTTGAGCTCCATCGAACTCTCCATCGAACCGGGATTCAGTCCTCCTAAAGAGAGGTCGCTGGTCTCAACATGTCTAGGAACACCTTTATCTTCACAAATTCTTGTACTTGTGCTTATTCTATCCAAATACGTCATAGAAAGTCTATAGTCCGCCACATCTTCTACGTTTTAGAAAGGCATGAAAACGTAGTATCTGTCCTGAATTATACGATGCAACCGCTCCGATATATCGTCTCTATGCTCTTCAGAGGTGCTACAATTTGGGTTGAAGCAAACTATTCGGTTCTCCCACAGCCCCTGATCAGACGCAGTTGGTTGCCCTCCTTTTCTGTATCAGAGTGGCTTCCCTATGTATATGACTTCGACTAGCAGATTGTCAACAACGTTAAATAAGCCCGTATATATCAATCCTCTCCATAGATACAAAGCTCAGTCATTCGGGATAGAAGCTGTAACTCTGGTATAGCTCTCATTGCAGTAACCTCATTGCCCCCACTAACTGCGCAGCATACCTGAGATCTTTCTTGAGTCACTGTGCCCTCCCTATATCTAATATTCAAGAATTTTATGGGATGACCTGCCCTGGAAATCTAAAGACACCAGCCCTTCCTCGTCAACCCTGAGTGGAAAATAGTCATTGCTCAAAGAACCCGGTTTACTCGACATAGCTGTATCCGCGCCCCGCAATGACGGTAAATGGAGGCGATCAGGCTGATCGTCAACTTTGTCTTGACCAAAAGCCACGCTACCGTAGTTCAGCGATGTTTTGGAGGCGTCTGAATGTTCATCTTCGCACGACTCAAAGTCAGAGATGGCGCTGTCGTGCTTGCCATCCGGGCCAGCTCCATGCGAGTACGAGCTATGCGTCTCGAGGTTGAAGTACTCGATGTAGTAGTCCTGGATGTCATCTGGCGCTCCCGGCGGATGTGAGACTTGGTTCTTTGCCATGGTGTGGTTCGGGTCCCAAAACTCTTGCATCCAGCAGTCAAAGCCTGGAAACAGAGGGTGACATAGGTTTTGGTAGTATCGGTTCTCGCGCTTTTCAAGCAACCGCTTGGTGCGGTGGTAGTGTATTGTCCAGGAAAGCGCTGAACGAAAGGGCTCGGGTTCGGGGCTGACTTCGCCTGGCGGTGAAGTCTTCGATGGTTTGGCTAAGCAGGAGAGGAAGGCAACGCAGATGTTCAGAAGGAGTGTATTGGCGTTGACGAGGGAAAAGTTGTGCTGAAAATGGTGAAGCTGGCTCTCATGAGGCGGACCTAGGAGTGGAATTGTGCTGCGTTTTATCTCTACAGCCGAGGTCTTCAGCGCGAACAAGAACTCTCTTGCTGTTTCGTGTACTAGGTACACTTTCTTCTTGATAGTACGAATGAAATGGCCACAAACATGTTTCAGGTGATTCTCGAGGGGGTATACGAGTCCATACTCTACGTCGTCGAATGTCAGCTTTGTACGGCGTCCCGGGTGTCGTTCCGGACTTCCATCGCCGGAATCATCACCATAGGGGGCTACCGCAAGTGCGATATTGACTTCTTCGACACTGAGTGATTGTGCGGCCGCAAGGACGATATTGAGCATTTTCCTAGCTTTCGTGGGTTCCGGTCTCGATGCGAGGAGTTCCGAATAGACGCTGACTATGTCTCTCGTATTGAGAATTCCATCAAAATCTTGTCTGAAAGCCCCGCTCTCAATTTTCTCTTCCAAGAGACTCAACAAGAGCGAAACCCAGAGAAGGGTGCTATCAGCTCAGCTCGGCTTGCAAGCTCTTGAGGAGGCCTACGGACAGACCGCGGTCAATAGTGTCTCCTATTTTGGCAGCAACCACCTGAGAGACATTATTGCTCATCGACTCCGTCTCATCTTCAGCCCTCAGTCGCATCATTTCGTATGTGGACTTTTCCTGAGCTACCCGTGGACCTACTGTGTTTGCCGGACCTGGAAAGGAAACTCCAGTCCATCGCTGCTGTTGCTCTTCTAAAAGCTGCAGCTGCACAACTACCGCCATCAACCTGTGCCCATTGCCGATTCGCTCTTTCATGCTGATTGATTTGTGGCGTTGCCAGTCACATCACATGTAAAGCGAGCCTGATTCTGCCTGTGCCTGCAGGTGCAGGTGAAGTTGCAGTAGTGAGTTCTGATATTCCCAGAGTGATTGGCTAACTAATGGGCTGTAATGGTGGCAGTTGTGGCAGTTGTGGCTGGAGGGGTAATAGCCAATAATTCACACTGAGCCAAATATACGAAATCACGACTCCGTCTGCAACAGCAGAAGACGGCCGATAGTATCCCCATACGAAATACGCCCGTTCTTTTGGCGAGAGGCACATCGTTGCACAAATCAAGGAATGCCACTAATTTCTTGCACTTACCCCTTGCCGGGTCGCCAGGTATCTATCGGATCTTCACAAGAGACCCTAATTGGATGGCTTGACCGCATGCGGCCGATCGAGCTGATGACGAATTTTCAATATGTTCTTATCGAAAATGTGTTGGATCAATGGTATGTTGTTGGATTGTTGACAAGTCCCCAGATGCACATCGGCAGCTTCTGTTAGTGCACTACCTCCCCTTGCGAACAAACATTACCTCACTATTAGTAGTGTTCAAGTTGTGTCTCACGCTCAGCCGCCCATTGACTTACATGAGGGCGCGGGACATTCTTTGTTGAATAAATTGCCAACCTTCCACCTCCATCATCACGATTGATTCCTCAGCAAACCATTCCGATCGCATCATTTGAACGTGCTCAACATACGCCAGAACCATGGATAGCGACGATAGTGAGCTTGAGGACTACGATGACTACGACTATGATCCTTGGGACGCTGATCTCATCGAGGACATGCTTTACCATGACAGAGTCGACTTCGCTCAGGAGATGGAGAGCCGCCTGGATCTCCTGGGCCAGACGTGGACCTGGTTCGACATTGACTGGTCAGAAGATCGTCTTTACTACGATGGGGTTGAAGACTGGGTTGGTGGGAATATGCTGAGCAGCGCACCTCCTGGGTGTGACATTAATCCTCGCCCTATTCTTCATGATCGGAGATGGACAGACCTGAAGATCCGTGATCGCGGCAAAGAGCTATGCACCGGAGAACTTCAGCCGGCAAAGTTCACAAGTTGGAGCCTCGGTGCCATTTACCAGCGAATGACCGACATCGACGAACTATTGCTTCATATCAAAGACATCTGGCACGTCAAGAAGTTTGAAATCAACGGGCAGCCAGCCTCTGCGAAAGTCGCCCTCAAAGATGCCCCTGAAAGCCATCATGTGGAGCTTGCCAGAAGGCTTCTTCTCGAACATGATTCGTTGCGCGGAATCGCACAGGAGCGTTCGCGTTCATCTCTCAGACCGCTCGCCTTGATCGATCTTCCGCTTGAGGTTCTCAGCTTCGTGGCGCAGTACCTCGACAAGAGTACTAGCGAAAACCCGAAAAATGTTGAGCTACCGTACAAAGCGGATGGCTCCTCCTACATCCAATGCCTTCGCCTCACTTGTCGAACCCTTAACCACGCAGCTTCACCCGCGCTACTGCATTGTGTGACAGTGCAGATGACGAAGAGTTCTCTGGATCGACTTGAATACATAGCCGAGCGCCCACACCTGCGCAACGGCGTTGAACGAGTTCGCATTTCACTTGGCTATTTCTGCGCCACAGTCGCGGCCACTGCATGGAACTTCACGGAGTACGCGTTCTGGATGCTCCGGTTTGCGCTTTATCGGCAGGACGAGGAGCGTCGATCCATCCTTACTGACATCTCCGGCATTGAAGACGCGATGCTGCGACATGCACAGCTCCGAGATCTCTTAGACTCTTGGAAAAAGCTTTGTACCACCCCAAGAGATGGTGCTGACGGGGAGCAGAGATGGCTGGCTCTTTTCCGTCAACAACGTGAACTCGTGGAGATGTATGAGGCGTACAAACGCAGTTTCGAAGAGTATGAGTCAGTACAACAAAACTTCGTCAACAAAGTTGCCAACGCACTGTCTCAGATGCCCCGATTCACTCGTTTGGAATTGTCGGATTATTTATGGAGGTCGCGACGCAAACGTACCGTGCGGCAAGATTTGGGCTGGGCATTGGTGTCCGATAAGAACTTCATGGAGGGAGACGACTATAGAGAAATTTTCACGAAGCCGATGCAATGGGATCGTCTTGCAGGATTCTCGCCCATGGGGGGTGATTTTTCTTTTGAGACTTCACCACCTGTTGACGTTCTTGGTCAACTTTTCCCCCTTCTTGGCAGGCTCGGAGTCCAGCTTACCAAGGTCGACATTAACATCACATCCCCGCCGGGTTTCGAGGCTCTCTGCCCTACAGATGTTGAGGCTCGACAAGGCATCGTCAAACTTTTACAGAAAATGTGGTTCTTGCGCTTCAAGATCAGGCCACTAGCCGACTGGAGGAATTACGATCGAAATCCGGTTGACGAGGACGGTGTGAATCACGTCTGGAAGCCACGCTCGCAAGAGGAGCTGGTAGGCCTGGACACTTTTCTGGACGCTCTCCTCGATACAAAGAGTCTGAGTCTACTCATTCTGGACTTCATTACATTCAAGAACGAGAAACTTCAGGGATCCTCGGCCGGGAACTGGTATCTGGCGTCCATCATGAAGCCCAGACAATGGGTGCGGCCACTCCAGGTGTTACTGAACGCCGTGTGTCTTGATTCGAAAAGGCTTGACAGGTTCATAGGAGATGGGCCAGTGCATTTTCGTCAATTCGAGAATATCTATATGGCGCGAGGAACCTGGAACGAGGCGCTGGACGTGATGCATCAAAAGTACGACCTGAGTGCCTACGACGCGCCAAAGACTTCCTTTACCGCCACCCATATGTTTCGAGATCTAGGCGGTGCCGAAGTTCAACATATGGATGAGAATCAGCAGCACGATGCCTTTGAGACCACAATATCTTGTCGTCCTTCGTCTTTACATGCGTATTTCTATATCAAGCACGAGAGAGAAGACAATCCCTTCCGACCTTTTGCGCAACATGTTGTGTAAAATTCGGGCCTCAACTACTCAGCGGTGCCAACTCTGGAAGACGACTACGGGACTGGCTAAGGTTCAGACAGAGCAAGCACTGGAGTGTCCCGACAGCAGGAGACGACCGGCAGAGAAAGATAGCCTTTTAGATTAATTTTAGAGTGTCGATTTCTATCCTTTAAAACAGTCTTAATCACCGTTAAAGTACACCTAATTCTACCACCCATCCTCAGGACCTTACACCCTCCGTCTTCAGCTTCTCCCACAACTTCTCTTCCTCCACCAAGATGTTCTTTCCGCTGAAGTCCCCCTCAAAGTCAATGTTGGGCAGCAGACTCTGGTACGGCACCACACGCACCCTCACATCCGACTTCTCCTTGGTCCCAAACTGCATAGCCTCGACAACTTGCCCGTCGCCGTAACTAGCGTCCGTCACTATGCGCAGCATAACCTCGGCACACTCCGTAGCCGACATGTTCATGTCTTGCTCGCGAACTTTTCCTACACAGTACGGCTGGAGCACTGCTGGTGTGAATGTGGTCGCGGGACACATGGAGGCGACTCGGATGCCGAGGCGAGCCTTCATCTGGGCCAGGCTCAGAGTGAAGGAGTTGAGAGCGCCCTTGGTGGCGTTGTAGAGCGGGGTGCCGATGGTTGGCAGGTATGCACTCAGGGACGACACGAAGATCAAGTTGCCTGCAATCTTGTTCTGCAGCCAGTAGTCGATGGCGATCTGGGCGAAACGGATGGGTCCCATGGCGTTGACGGCGAAGATGTTGTACACTCCGGGGGCAGCGTTCGGGTCATCCTGGGCCAGCGGCGAGACACCCGGAAGATCCCAGAAAGAGCTTGTTGGAGGCTCCCTATAGATTTGCGTCAATACGTACTCCATGCTACTAAGGCAAGCCCATGATTCGTACCAGATGCCAGCTCCGGGGCAGAGAAGGTCGACCCTGCCAAACGTCTTCAGGGCAAACTCCCACGTCTCTGATATCTGAGCCCAGTTGGACTGATCCATCTTGTGGTAGACGGCAGACGGCGAGTCATCTTTGGATGGATGAGGATACTTGGCGATGAGTTCCTCTGCTTCCGGACGCAGAGCAAGATCAGCAAAGATAACGGAGCAGCCCGCGGTGAGCAGCTGCTCGGCAAATGCAAGATTGATACCTAGAGTGGATGTCGATCAGACCACGATGTTCCGGGTATATCAGGGTTTTAGCACATACCGCTGCCGGCGCCGGTAACGACGGCGAACTTGCCCTTGGCGTCCCAGGAAGCCATTATGTTTTTGTTGAATACAAATACAAGTTTTGATAATATTCGGAGTCAGTTTGAGCCAAGAATTGAGGGGAACCTTGGGCGCATTTATGAAAATATCTTCAGCAGAAAGTGGATAGCGCCGCTGCAGAGTCCCTTTTCCCATGGCGCAAAGTCCGAGGCATTGTGGAACTCGAGACCCTGGCAGCATGAAGAAACAGCTCATATTGCAACCTTTGATGGACCAACGGTTGGTTCAGAGATTCTTCATATGCAAGAGCCAACATCGAAGCAGGGGTTGTGTGGATCCAGACTGTCCAAATGGTCATAAGCCAAGGGTCAACAGCAACATATGTCTTGGTGCTGAGCAAGGTGATGACTCGAGAACGCAGGCTCTCTTTCAGGGTGATGATGACCTGGGGTCAGAATGTACATTGGGTTCCTGATGCAAAAAGACCTTGCACCAGGCGCTGCGGGATCTCATCTGTTTCTGGCCCCAGTGAGAGCTTCTGATGGAACCGCGCCTCGCATCAAAAAAAGCCTCATGATAGACTCCGAGACAACTCTCGACTGGTCGGCATTCCAATGCTGGTCTATATGCAGGTGATACGTTGTTTCTGGCAGGCAGGCTGTAAGGTGTTGCGTTGCGGGAGCCTGATTCTGTAAGCATGTGCCCCGCCTCGCCGACGATGCCTTCATTATCTCGTCCATCCCGAGACGCTATCACATACGACCATATCCACTGGAAAACTCGGGATCCCGTCCGCTCTCCCATAGATAAGCCAGTGAGGGATGGAGTAGTAGTCGGGTCGGTGACGACCGGCGAATGCCCGTTGTTGTATGTTTTTGCCCTTTCTGTGTCTTTTTTGAAGCTGGGGCGGGGCTATTAGTGGGAATGCATGGTTAGGGACGATGCGTCGAGCACCAAACTCCTAAGAACTATCACACGTCTAGATTAACCGCAGGTTCAAGCTGTACAACAGGATAATAAGCAGTAGTCATACGTAAGTCTAGTTAATGGTCTATTGCTAAGCAGGTGGAGACTTGGCATCCGACTTGATTCCGTAAGTAATTACGCAGCAGTTGCGACAGAGTATTGAGGCGTAAAACTCCCAGATCTCTGCGTATCAGCCGCAAATATTGCTCTCAAACTCGAAATTTTTATTGGGAGAAACGTAAAACACAATATGCTCGGATGTTCTGGGGCAATGCCCTCAAGTTGGTCGATCGAAGGCAGGCGTCTAGTCGTGTTGAGAGACTTTCTCGCCTGAACTTAGCAACTTATGACTTGAAATATATCCATTACGTTGGAGAGAGCACTCACCACTAATTCGACATTTGCTAATGGTACAGACTACACAAGCTGACCTGGCATCTCTGTGTCGTTGCCTTGCATTACCCACCGATTTGGGCCTCAACCTGATGCTATTATGCGCTGCGAGGACAGACTAGTGTACATGGCGAGCTCGCAAGCTCTCTAATTGCAAAGCAACCCAATTGGATTCGCTCAAGGCAGTTGCGATCCACGCGACATTCGTGGTATGAGAACGCAAGTGTCCGAAACAAAACACAGCGGTGATTACGCCCAAGTTTGAGCACGTTCAAGTGCTCTACTGATACTTGCACCGACGTGTGGCTTAATACACTTCAGAGACCATCCATAGTCGCCACCGCAGGAGGCTAGTCACAGCCCCAACGCCGCCAATAACCATCAAACTTCCCTTTGACAAGTGGATTGGTGGTAGCCCATCGGATGTTATCAGTCAAAAGATGAAATCTCATCAAAAAGATCACATGCAACACCGAGCATTCGCTGGTCGTCTCCGACCCAACTACTACTTCGGCCCTCGCTGGTTTATCGATGGGAGAGCGGACGGGATCCCGAGTTCTCCAGTGGGTATGGTCGCATGTGGTGGTACCTCGAAGACACAGACTGATGTAGCCGTGGAGTGACTCCTGTCGGCAAGTTGGCTCGCCCAAACCCGGTCCCTTGCCATTGCGCCTGGCGAGAGATGCTCCCAACACGATGCCATATCCGGCATGTGAATCTTCACCGCTTGACTCACGCTCGACGCAACGATAGCGTGCTCGATCTTGTGCCATCATGTCAGTCCAGGTTATCGCAGGGCAGTTGGTCTCAGGGGAAGGAGTCATCCCCAATCAGGAGAAGGCGTCGACAAGGCAGGCCATGGTGACTTTAACGGTCTCAACCATTCAGAAGCCGGCGTACAACTGCCACAATGTGAGAGGAACTCATGTTCCAGACAAACTGCAGCGGCCTCACCCGAAGCAGCATGCCTCGTTGGCCAACACGGAAGCGAACCCTCCTGGACATCTCCGGTCTATGGAGAAGACAGCCACTAAGCGCCACAAACGCCGCCCCCGCCTGCCAGCACTCACTCTACCTCGAACCATAGAGCTCCATCACCATCGCATTCTTTTCATAGCCCTGCCGTCATGATAACAGACAGACAGCCAATGGACGAGAGCAGCCCCTTTGGCCCCTGTCGTCTACATCGCACAAGGTCAAAGCTTGGCTGCGTCCTTTGCGACAAACGGCATCACCAACTCGCGGGATGTCAGCCGCACCGCAACGTCGAGCCAACGGCCTCGGTGCTGCCTGATCTATTCTTTAATGAGAATCCGGCAGTTCGGGACCAATGACGAGATGAGGGGGCGATGAGAGGCCGCTCGCCATCATCCTGGGGTCGTAGCCCTGGTGAGTTGACCGGACTGGCCGTCTCTACAACCCTCTGAGCCCTCCCGAGTCTGACAGCGAGGCATTCTGGAAGACGGAGGCATCCTGGGAGAAGTGTTACCAGCAATCCGGTATCCGCAAGGAGCACTGCAAAAAACAGGAAGCCTTGTGAGGTCAAAGTGACGGCTACCGTGGGTCAAGAGTGTGGTTGATGGCCGCGTCGAAGGCGGCCGTGGAAGGCTGTGGACGGCTGTTAGTCTAAAAATGGACCCCACCCGCGACGGTCTGAGTGGAAGAAGAATAGGATGCCGGAGGGGACAGCCGGCCCGTTCGGCGGCCGTGGGGGCTGTGTGTGGTCCGTTTGCAGCGTAGTTCGGTGGGTTCCAGCGGCCCGTTTGGGCGGCCCAGAGGGAGGCCAGTCCCGCCCTACACCAACGGCCGACGGCGACACTCGGCCAATGGGAGCGCTCGGCAGGAGAGAGAAGCCGTGGCTGAATGGAGAAGGAAGGACGGTGCTGCTTCCCCTCGAACTCTCGGACGGTGAACAGCGCTGTGGAAGCCAAAAATCAGTGGATTAGGTAATGGAAGCCACCTAACCTAAGCCTTGAACGGCGTGGTGAGCGAAGCATTACGGGGGACATCCATCCCCTCTCGGTTCAGTGTTCCTCGGTGTCGGCCGTGCGGTGCGGCGTCTCCACTTTTAACCTCTTCGCTCCAGGTCGTCGACCAGGGTGTCGCCAACTCTCAACTTCGACTTCGACTCTTCCATCGACACTTGGCCAGGGTCGCCATCGCACTCTGACGAACCACAGCGCACGAAACAGGCAAATTCGTCGTGTTTCTGCTCGTCGTCGCATCGTCGAGTTCCCCTCGTGCTCCTCCCTCTACCCCACAGCGCGTATGCTGTCCTATCTCGACGGCTGACGGGGGCGAGAGAAACAAAAAAGGTCTTTGCGCGCAAGAGAACGGATCATTATCTCATATTGTTCATGCATCGAAGCAGTCCAGGCGCCAGGGGGCTCCCATGCCCGCCGCCTGCGCGCGTCTGAAGTCTGCGGTGTCTGCTTCGCTTGCTCAAGCTTCTACAAACCACCTGATCTGGTTTCACAACCCCAAACTCTGTCGCCCGCCGCCCAACTACATGCGCTCAGTCACCACTCGCAAAGCTGCGGGCGGGCGACCTCTCCTCTCCCATAATCCCGGGACTACGGCTCCCATGAAGGGGGTTGACGAAGACAGGGCGCGCCAGGGGTCGGGCTGCGGTAAGGCCAGCGCAGACACGCAGGACCACACTGACGCTGGGACTGGGACCGGAGAAGGACAGAAATGCGCGCTACGGAAAATGGAATTGTGTCTTTCTAGAAGGTCAATCTGACCAGCTCCTCGACGCAGGGGGATGCCAGCCAGTAGCTGCTCTCACTTCGCCATTGACTCCCTTCTACCGCGCATCCCACCCCCTCCTCCTGCTTCCCATATCATTTCCATGGGACTTGACGCCCACCACTCGCGTGAGCACTTGGCCCTGCCCAGGTCTCGTCGGGCCTCCTCCTCCCACTGCCCCCCTGGTTCCAACAATAATCCAGCATCGCCAACGGCATCTTTCCTCTCTCTGGCTGGGGGTCTCTTCATCGTTGGCCTCACTCAGCCCCTCCCCGCCCCTCCTCCGGCACATGTGCCTCGTCGTGCCTGGTCTATAAGAAGTCGATGGACGTATCACCATGGAGACCCCAACTCGCGCAGTCTCCAGGAAGCATATAGGACTCTGCCGCACCTTCTCAGCCTAATGTCTTCTACCACTGCCGTCCCAGTCTCCAAGTTCAGAGAGCTTTCTCTCACCAGGATGCCTCCCACAACCAGATCGCAGGCTCAACGGCAAGTGCCCCAACAACAAGACGACGAGGACTCATCCGAGTATCACGACTCCAGCTCCGAGTCCGAGTCCGAGAGCGGCTCAAGCAGCGACGACGCCATGAGCGAAGACGACGACGATGACAACGGGGAGGGAGACGAGCCAAACGTTGTCACGTCTCCCTCCAAACTATCTTACAGACTAGACAGGCTGTCTCCCGAGGACCGCAAGCGCGTCCGCAAGACCTTCAAGAAGCCGCCGCAGCTCTCCCTAAAGCTCTGCCTCCTCCACGACAACCACTACGGGTTCGAGATGACGGAGCTGGTGCACCGCTCCATCCGCATCGGAGGCCCCGGCAGCCGCTGGAACGGTCTTCACTGCTCCTGCAGGGCGACAGACAGCCGGGACGGGCTGCCTTGCAAGCACCTGATCTGGCTCCTGGACCAGGTCGTCAAGCAGACGCTGTACGACCACGACCCGGCGTCTCCGCTGACCATGACGCCCGGCGGCTTCCCAGAGGAAATCGGCGACCCGTACAGCGACATATCAGCTTTCCACTCAGACGTGCTCGCCGACGGCCTTCACGTCTTCAACCCCGACTTCGGAACCGGAGACGACTCCGATGACTCGGATGCCTCCGACGAATCCGACGAATCCGATTCCTCGGAAGAAGGCGACACATCGCGCCCTCTCGACCGGCCCATCCCCCATCGCATCCAGGAAGTGCGCGAGATGCTCTCCGCCATCTCCTCCACCGCCCCAGAGGACTTCCGCCCCGACCTCCTCTCCTCGCCGACCTCCTCCTCCCGGCGCAGCAAAAAGAGCCCCATCAAACGGCGCGACCTCGAGGCCACCGTCTTCCGCATGCTCCTCGCCAACGACGAGTTCTTCCACTACTTCCTCTCCCAGATGCGCTCCACCGACCCCGTCAACGACCCCTTCCGCAAGCTCTCCCAGCGCGTCGACCGCGTCCTGCACGAGCTCGACGCCTTCGCCGCAGGAGACCCCTCCCGCCCCGCCTCCGCAGAAGGGCCCCGCGACGTCGCCTGGGCCGCCCGCCACATCACCGGCGTCGTCGCCCTCATCCGCACCAACATCTTCAACCGCGAGCGGCCCCTCGAGCCGTGGGAGCGCTCCAGCGCCGCCCGCGCCCTCGTCCGCATCCTCGCCGGCGTCGTCGAGCGCAACCGCGACTTCGTCCCCCCCGGTCTGAGGACGGCGGCGTCCGTCCCGCGGCAGGACCGGAACCTCTTCCTCCGCCTCGTCGGCGACCGCGACGAGGGCTTCGTGCTGAACGTCCTCGACCTCCTCCCCCCGGACGCCGCCGCGCCGTTCCTGCACACCCTCGAGGCCATCCAGGACCAGCTGGGCGTCCACGGAGCTCCCGCGAGCTACGTCGAAAAGTTCCGCTCGCTCATGTCGCGGCTGAGGAGGCGGGCGAGCGTCGGGTCCTCTTCGACTCCTGCCACGGGATCCAAACGGCAGAGTCAGGGTCCGGATCGAGGCAGCAAGAGGGTGAAGTGAGTCACTGTCTTCTGCACAGAGAGAGACCTGCTCTTCTCCAGAAACCTTGTTGTCACCTGATGGAGGGGACCGGCTTTCCTACCATGCTTCACTTCTTCTGGCTGGCTGTCTGCGACATTTGCCTCCGTCTTTTTCCACCCTCCCCTTTTTGACAAATCCCCTGTTCTTTAAAGTCGCCATTTCCTTGATTCTCTGTTGTTGAATATCCCCCAGGCAGGTTTCTTTGCACACACACCATCTTTCCGTCTAGACTGCCCAGCTACTGTACATAGAACATTGAGCCCAAGGCCCTATTTGGGGTGCTTGTGCAAGAACTGGTGTACATTTATCTTAATCGGAGTTTTGTTCTGTAATTTAACATACCATGACCCATCACTCAAACTCATCTAGCCCCCCCTCCTATGAATTACATGATTAAGTGTGCGTCCTTCTCACACAACGCCCCTCGTCATGACTCTGCCTGCAGTTTCTCCAGCTGTTCGAGTACTTCGCGCAACGAGGGTCTGTCAAAGTAGTTGTCCTTCCAGCCGCCTTTTGCCTTCATCCGCTCCCTCATGGCCAAGAAGTCTTCTGCCCAGGAAATCTCCTTCTTCCACCAGGCTGATGCGGCCTTCTTGATGTCCTTCTGGTCATCGCCGTTCTCCGCATTCGTAAACGCCATCTTGCTCCCCTTTCTGACGATTCTGCTGTTAAGAGTGGCTCGACGTCCGCGGGTGCAATGATCAATGAGGTCCCTCAGTTTGGGTGGTGTCCTGAGGTAATCCGGAAACTCGATATGTGCTTCTCGACGGTAGGATTGCCATATAGAGGCTTGCTGTGGAGCGCCGGCGCCTTCAAACAAACACCACAGCACTCTTCCAAGCATATACACCTCTGAAGATTCCTGCTCTTGGGGACTCAGCCCCCACCAACAAATGTTGTAGCCCCTTTCGGGGTTTGTGTACTCTTCTCTATCCTGAAGCGACTCGAAGTCCGGGCACAACCTCTTCAAAAGTTCAACATAGTGGTCTTTGGCATCGTCAGGCATATTCTCGTCGGTGGCCAGGATACGAATGTACTCGATGGCGTTGACTTCTGGTGAGGCGAACTCGCACCATACCCCGCGCTGTTCAAAATCGCACATGATGGCGTCTCTATTTTCAGACAGGACGACGTTGTCCAAACGTAGGTCTGGGTAGAAGGTGCCAGAGGTTTCCCGATAGTGTACCACACCGGAGGTGATCTGTGTGGCCCATTTGAACTGCTCCGCCGGTGTCAATGTGTTGCTTGCCTGCAAGAATGGCACGATGTCCCTCATCGTTCCGTATCGGTGGAACTCTAGAGTAAATCCAAGGACCGCCACCTTACTTCCGAAGGTGCACTGCTTCGTAACAAGATGAACTGGCCGTGACATGATGCTCTGGTGTGGCTTTGCTGACAAGAGTAGTTTCATCTCATGATACAAGTATTTGGTGTAACTGGTCAAAGTCTTGAAGATCCACTCGGTGCCTCGGATCCGAACGAGGCATACGCTGTCGTGAATCTGCTCGACCACGTGTACTTCGGATATGTCAACGCACTCGGGCATCTCGACTGAAGGACCCCACATTTCAGAAAGAGCGGCTGATGAAAGTAGCTGGCGTTCTAGATAGTAGGTAGGTGCGACTTCGATCTGAATGGCCCTGATATCGAGCGATAGGTCCTTGAACACGATCCGAGATCCAAAGGGTACCGAGGTAAAGAGTGACTCGGGTTCGACGAGGCTCTTGGTCCAATACTGCAAAGCGCGGAGGATGTGCTTGGCAACGTTGAGCTGTTGTACCCGAGTCCGGTCTCTTGTGTGGAAAGCCACGTCAAGGTCTAGCAGTTGGCGAACCTCTTGTGACTGGGTCGACTGCTCCGGAATGAAGGCATCGATGCGCATCGGTGTGATGGACTTCAGGAACAACGGCAGGACGTAAAACTGAGTCCCGAGGCCCGTACAACCGTCAATCCGCCAGAGAGGGTCGGGGAGGGGATCGAGACTGTCAATTCGGTTCTTCGGATTGAGCTGGGACGCATCCCAGTCCGCCGATGGCGGTTGCCTTGAATCGGCATTGTCATTATGGGTAATTTCGCGTCTCGAGGCGTCAGTGAAGGCGGCCGTAGGATGAATAATGTCGTGTATTATGTCCGACGCCAACTCCATCTTGTGGCGACGACGACGTCAAGTTTCAGAGGCCCAGTGAGACCAGGTCGTCCAATGGCGCAAAGGTTGTATAGTGAAGATGTTTCACGACATCGAACCACGTTGCTTGTGGCAGTCAACGTCAGAGTTAGCGACAGACAGGTGGCGCGTGGGGGAAGGACGGGTGATCAAGTGAAGGATCGCCGAAGGCTGGGTTGTTGGTCGCGTCGAGCGATGCTGTGAGACGTTGGAGGACGAAAGAGAGCGGGGGAACGCTGAAGGTCTCCTCCTGGCTGGCCTTATCCGCGATGGGCGACCAACGGGAACGGTAGAAGACGATGGCGGGGCGACCGGGGAGAGGCGCGGAGGTTACGGGTTCGGCTGGGCGTGATCGTGGACGTGGGTATTTTGCATGATTATGCTGGGATCCGATTTGTGTGTTTGTGTGCTTGCCCTGCAGGTAGCTGCAGACAGACGTCGACCGGCCTCTGAGAGGGCGCGAGCTGATTGGTTGGGGCCGAGAGGGCTGACTGCGGGAGCAAGGAAAATGATGTTGGTTCGACCGGAGAGGGAAGTGGACTTGACTGCCCTTGTGCTGGTGCCAGGGTCCAGTTCAGTCGCGAGTCGCGAGATGTTGGATTCAAAGTGGCTGGGGAGGGGGGNGGGGGGGGGGGAGGTTTCGAAGCCCGAATTTTTGCAGACGTTACCTTAAGGTATTTTAACTTACACACCGAGGCAGTCGGACAAGCGCGGATCAAAAACGGGGTGGTCCTGCAACGGCAGTGTCATCCACTCAGAGAACCAAGTGGCGACTTCCATTGCCTGTACTCCGTAAGCCGCATCGCCTTGGCAAGAGCCACGGCTTCCCCAGGTAAGGTGACCGACGTCAGATAAGGTGATATGTGAGGTGAGGCAGCTGCTGGCTGGCTGGCCAGGCAAGTCCTTCCGATGAGATGGTTGTTTGCTGTGTCGTGCCTTCTCAGTTACCTATGGAAGGCAGGCACATCACATGTTGGAAGAAGGTACGATTCCGAGAGTAAGCAGCATGTAAGGAACCTAGGTAGGTGGGCAGGAGATTGCATACCTTCCTTTCCTACCTTCCCTTCTTACCCAAGGTAGGTAGGTAGGAGGCAGTGGAGGCTAGAAAGCCAAGAATGCAGAAGCAAAACAAACCTGGAAGCTCGCGGTCGAGGCCAGCTCAACTGAAACTGCTTTACTTGCCGATGGCGGTTGGAATCTGCATGGCTCCTGCCTTGTTAGGTTCGTTATCGGCCTCGTGGTTTCTTTTTCCTCTTCACGGACGCCTCACTCCAACAATCTCCAACGGCCACTTCGCTGCCCCTCAATTCAAAAGGGCCCCGCCATCTCCCAGACGCCGTGTCTCAGACAAAGCACTCGTAGGGCAGTAGGAGCAGCCAGCCGTTATGCAGTGTAAAGAACCTCGCCTTAGGCGGGTGGTTGCTAGCCCGGCTTGTTTCATTCGGGAAGACGGCTGATTGCAAGCTTGGGTCCAGATCGCGCCTGAGCAGAGGGCACAGCAGGCAGTATGCGGGCAGTAGCCGCCATAAGCTCAAGTTGGAATCCCGTTGGTCAGAGACCGAATATATTACTTGAATGTGATAGATGATATAAATGCCATCCTCAGTCGCCGACGGCTGACGGCCGCGTAATCGGACCGCTTGGGACTGGCACAGTGGTACCTCCGGCGACGGATGCAAGCCATGCAAGCAGCACATCAGGCCAGTCGACACGGGAACTTGCCACTAAATAGAGTGCAAGCCGTTGACGTGAGTAACCGGACCTCGGACATGTCGTATCTGTCGTTTCGGTGTTGCGGGAGCTGGATGCCTTATTCGCAACGACAACCCATCTGGCGGGCTGTCCAGAAACGCATCTCAACAGTCCATGTGTCAGCCAAGGCATCGCAGAAGGAACAAATCGCGGGAGTGCCCGCCTCGAGAAGGAATAAACAAGACCTGGAGAGCGCGGCGTGTCTTTTCAAGGATCGTCACAAGAGCTGCCCTGTGCTTCGAGACCGTACCAGGTCCGCATGAGCACGGATACAGAGTACGCCCCCCTACATTACATACGTGCCTGGGTACGTTCCATGCCGTAAGGTAAGGTCGGGTACCTTCCATTGCCCTGTATGGTAAGGTACGGGCAGGCAGGCAGACAGGCAGACACGGCTTCGTACCTAGGTAAGATAGGTAGGTATGATGGCATCGTCAACTAGTAAGATAGGTAGCTAACGTACTAAAGGTACGCAAGGCATGTCTGTAGGTAGGCAAGGGAGAGGCCAAGTTGCTGAAATATCTGGCGATGACGGGAGGAAACAAACACGCAGCAACAGACGGGACGGACCTTACCTTCCATGCCTCTCCACTCCTCCTTCCCCCAACCACCTGCACCTGCCTCACCTGAAGTCAGAAGTACCGTGCTTGCCCGTGGTCTGTCTGCCTCGCCTTGCCTTGCCTTAGGTAATGTGCCTGCTCTGTGCCGTCCCGTCCGTTCTGGGTGCCGGGCAGCATCCAATGGAAGGAGGCTCCTACCGGCACGGAGGAAGCAGCACATGAATTCCATTGGCAGTTGGATAGGACGGGAAGGAAGGCAGGAGGAGGCATCAGAGACATGCTGGCCTAGGCCCTGCCATCACCAAGCTTGTCTCGACCAGGCAAGGTGCCAGGAACGTCCAGCTTGAAGTCGCCATGAGAATGACGCTAGAGACGCCCTTCCGTCTGTCCAAGGGCTGGGATAGTTCGACTCTGCATCCGGAAGCCGCTGCACTTGAGATGCACCCCACGTGATGCTCGAACGCCAGCTGCACCTTCATCGTGCTTTCCACCCATTCATCCAT